TGGATCAGATTGATGGCGTCGTTTCTGATGTACTCTTTTGAGTGTGACTGACTCGCCTGGTGGAGGTCAGGCATGCGACGGTCGTCAGTATCATGCAATCATGTGCCAAGTGCCCCCTTCTCTTGTAAATTGTTTGCGATTCTTGGTAGGCCCACTGAGCAAACGAAAGCCGGAAGAAGCAATACTGGACAGCTGGACATCCAACAAGGAGCCATCGCTCTTTTGTGCTAAGTCTCCAGCGCTCCTTGTGGACCGGCGCACGAAGCAGCAACGGTGGGGATTGCTTCCAAGTTGCAACCTGCCAGGTTTCACATGAGCCAACCAGGCTGGGGGGGAGTTATGAATGGAGCGAACACAGGAAGCCAAAAGCTGGAAGGTCTGGCTTGGATAAGGCTCAACTCGAGCATTGCAAACTGCCCAATCAATAGGCTGGAGCAAGTGGACTTACTCAGTCTTTGACTGGACACATCTCGTGTATTCTGGCAAGGCTTGATCACCTTGACATGTAATTGCAGCTTCTTTCTGCCTTTCGACTGCAATTTTGAAAGTGGTTGTGGCTTGATTTGAAAGTCCGCGCGTGTGCAGTCGTAGTTCATGGCTGAACTTGTCAGAAGGGCGCCAAGGGCACCAAGTGTGAACTTCGAACCGCCATCCCATCTTCATACTTATTACAGACTTTGATCGGCTCAGCACTAAGGCCACATAGTCCAGCGGCCGGGCCTCGTATTGAGTGATCCGAGTGTCCACCCCGCTGCACAAGAAATGCCTACGGGAGCAGCTGAGAAAGTGACATGTACATGCGGTTCCTACCGTATATTCATGCGGAAAATGCGTTGCATGATCTTTGCATGGCTGAAATATTTGAGTATTTGGAGCAAACGCAGAACGCCATCCGATTTTGCATATGTCAACAGGTGGTATTTTGAGGCACATCGAGGGTACTTTGTGACAAAATAACACGCGCTTGCAACACAATCATGTCGGGCAACTCTGAGCAAGGAAGTCCGACCCTCACTCACGCCACACAAAGGTTGGCTCAGCTGAGGGTTGTTTGTGGTCCGTTTGGGTTGGAGATGCTTGTTTCCAGGGCTGTTTGGGATACAGGCATCCAACCTTGTGGCCAAAGAAGAACTGACTCGACCACGCGTCAGCATACGGCTAGCGCCTTTTGAGGCTTGGCCACGGGGAGCAGTTTGTGGAGGCCCAGGGTACAAGGTTTGAGAGCTCCGGGAAGGTTAAGGGTGGGTTTCGGGTGGATTCGTGATGATGAGCAAAGGTCGGGACAGGCTTGGCTTGACCATATAAGCAATCTGAAACTTGGGTCGCCCGCGCACTGCCATTCTGGATTGCAACTGGCGAACCCACGTGACCCGGCCTGTCATCTGGCGAAAACGTGCACATAACATTGTGCCCTCGGCGTGCATGGCCATGCAGGCACAATAATATGTTGCAACGTTGGCCTGGTTTGGCCGGGACTTCTCAAAATTCAGATAGCTTCTCTCTCCTTCTCTCTTTCTGTCTCTCTTCCTCTCTTAAACTGTCTTTGAAACATCTCTTTGCACTACTGTACTTGCACTGCAAGAACGGCAACTAGTGGGTGGCACAACAAACACCCAAACAATCATGAAACAAAGAAACACGCGAGCAAAGGAAACAGAAACAAAGCGATGGTGTAAACAAATTGCATGAATGCATGGATGGATGCCCGAGTGCGTGGATGCATGTCATGGATGCATGGATATCAGTGGCATGAGAGATGTAAATGGACAAGCGGACGAGTAACTAGTGAGAGGGAGTCCTTTTGCCCTGTGCATCCCTGTCCGCTTGTACTTGGGCCACCGATGGACCAAAGGTCTCAAGCATGGACAGCGGGCTTATGAGCGGAACAGCTCCCCATTTAACATCCTTGAGGAGCCGGCCATCTGTACGCAACGTCTTTGCGGCGTATTGGCTGCGCAAGGGCCGCCGAAGGTCCCAAATCTTACAGGTATGGTCGAAGGATGCCTGGCATCGCACACCATCACGGGCCAATCAAAAAAAGGTGAAGGCGGAACTTCATTGGCTCATGGCTCAGTGGACAAAAACAGTGCGCTGACTCCGAGCTCCGCTCCAAGCACAATTTCCAATCATGGCCAAATGTCAGGAAGCCTGCGCTATGACAGCTCCACACAGATGCAAGCAGGCCGGCAGTGCAGTAGCAAACATGTGGGGCGATTCGTTGCTGAATCTACCTGCAGGCTGCGCTATGTGCACACCCACACATGCTTGCTGCAATAGATCCTATACAGAATGAATCTGCATGTGCGAAATGTGGGTCACAGTTCGAGATTGACTGGCTCCTAGGTTTCATCCACCACTCACTCATGCTCCAATATTTGGATATGACACAGTCAGCTCAAAGGACCGGAACATGCGCAATCCCAATGTTTATCTTGCAAGCGAGCTGCTAATATTGATGAAGTGCTCGTGGACCCCTGCTCCTCTGCTTAAGACCATTCCAGTCCTTAGAACTCCAGATCCTTCCCTCAAGGAAGTCAACGCCCTGGGGATGAGGCAGTTTATGCGACGTAGTCTTCGAGTACCACTGCCCCGTCGTTTGCTCATGGATGTGGCACTGAGGGCTGGGCTCGATGTCAAACACGCAAATCGAGGACGAAATGCCAGAAGCCAGGAGAAAGTTGTCAGAGCAATTGACACCTTGGCTGTGGCAAGGACTGACAAACAATGGTCATGCAAGCATCTACTGCCTGCAAAGCGTCAACTGCCTGCGGCCCAAAAGAAGCTAAGTTTGTCGCAGCCACTGGGCAAGCAAAGCACACGTGTCAAAATTGGACCATCAAAAGACCCACCAAACAGGTTGTATTCCTCTTGGTCTCCTTGCCAAAGCCATCCAAGATCTTGGGGACATAACTCCAAATGCAGCATGCAAACGCTAGGGGGTCCCTTCTGGAATGGATTACCGTCTTCCGGAACTTTGAAGCCGCCGGCTTTCCGAGGTCGACATTTTAGGGTCACTGCCTTCAATGGAGGATATGAAGGTCGTACAAACACTGCGCTGCTCTCATGGCTGAGTGATTTGCTGTCGCGTGCCCCAACAACCAAATGCCATGCTTGACAATGACTGACAACAACAAGGGCATTGGCATTGCAACAGGGCGACGCAGCGGGTGGTTCTCAGAGCACACCAATAACTGGAACACAGCGTCGGCGCCCCTCGTCGCAAACTGAATAGGCTTGGTCGTTTAACGACCCTGCAACATGGTTGAACTATGAACCAGTCAGTGGGGCAACTGCAATTTTGCAAAAGGTCGCAAGGAAAAGTCGCACCAAAACGCAAGAAGAAAACCAGGGTCACCACATTGCCGCATTGCCCTTCAAATGTGGCAGTTCACTGGTAGCTTCCAATACAATTGCAACAATTGGACGTCCAAAAGAAGAGCATCGAGGAATCAACCACGAAAACAGCGCCAAGGCCCCGACTGAGAGACGACAGCTTGGGAAACTTCTCCCCCACTGTCGCTGCGCTTGTCAGCGCCGGCCCAGCACTGGCGGTAGGGAAACCCAATGGACAAACATGCGCCAAGGGCATAGCTCCATGGATAGTGAATCATTAGGGGAAACATTCGATCCGAGCTCTACATTCAGAATAGCTCAGGTAGGACACCAGGAAGGATACCCAATAGGGGCATGAGTCATGCAGGGACGGCACTGGCAAAGCGCCGGTTTTGATCCGTCCGCACCAAACGCCGCTGTCTCCCATGCTGCTCTTTGAGTTCCTTCTGGTGAGCGCCGGATCGAACTGCGCCGTCTGCTAAACGGCGGAAGCAAAAGATGTTTTTCTGGAGGCTGGTGACAGCACGTCTTTCATGCTTTGCGACTGCGACACCATCCACATCAACAATTGTCGGAGAGCGGGGCCACACTAAATGAACAACGTACAAACATGACTCATGAATTCTGGATGCAAAGGTTGCATATTATCCAAAATGCAAAACTTCCAAAAGCTAAGCTGAAAGGGGCATAGGCTCTATCCAGCCCCGTTTGGATCCTGGTTTCTCCGCAACCCTCAAGCTGTCATTCTTTCCTGGTTTCTCCGCAACCCTCAAGCTGCCATTCTTTCCTGGCCGTCCTACCCGGCCCCTGCCAGCCTTGAATCTGGAAAATACCTGCACACGCATGCCGCAATTCCCCTCGAAGGTGCTGGCAGAAAACCTTCACGAGCAAATCTGATCAGCTGCAGGCTGGAGTTCCCCTGTGATTCGATTCTCTGCCAAAAAAAAGCGCTTCCAGCGCAAGCAATTGGTCCGGACAGCGCTCTGCACAAAACATGCCAATTTGCAAAACGGGGTTGCCTCCAAGCACTTTAACTAACGAGCAAAGCGCAACAGTCGACCTCATACACCAGGCCTAAGGAAATGAATAGCCCCCGACGAGGCAGATCCGGCCACCTTGGCTGACTTCTCTGCATAAACAATCCATGTCTTGGCAGGATGGGCAAGGATGTGTGCACATATGAGCACTAAGTTGAAGTTGGCACACATGCTCCTGACACTTTCAAGCTACCAAATACCTCGTTGTTTGATGGTTGGTGATTGCATACATGTGCATGTCTACAAATTGAGGAGCGTGCCAAGTAAACTCCCCAAGTGGCTTTGGGCTCCTTCAAGTTGAGGTCGCATTTTGTGGCGGCTTAGGGTTTGGGAGTGTCTCCAATGAAGGTTACGTTGTCATTTTGCCCAGTAAGCAGCTGCGAAGCGTTTGGTGGAATTCAGAGTCGCATGCAACTGCAACTGAACATCAATCATGGTGGGCATTTATGCAATAACAATCCGTTTCACTGTGTTCCAACTCTGCGAATTGATTCCTAGACCCGCCACTCGGCAAGTACTCCACCAGTTTGGGGCGAAACCAAATATCAAAGGCTAGTTTGAGGGGTCAAGGTGGCCATGTGTGTGTGACAAGTCGAGTTGCGGCAACGTTGGGGCAGTGTCGCAACCAGCTCAGCGCCAGCAGAGCGCTGCTCTCCACCTGCCGTGCTCCGTGCCAGTCCATTCCCCGCCCTGAGAGAGGTGTTTTGGCGTTGCTCGGAACCCCCGGTTTGGTTGGGTCGAAAGGCGAACCAAAAAGAAACGATTTTTTGCGCTTGATTCCCATGCCAGCCGAAGCGAACCAAAAGGAAACCATTTTGCGGGGGTGAAAACCCTCAGTTTGAGGCAACCCCATCTGAGAGTCTTGGCCAACTCATTGAAATGAAACAAATGGGTGCGTTCTAGATGTAGGTGACCACTAAACGTAGTGTCCTCTTGGCTTCGCGCGGAATCAGCCTTCAAATGGGGTCCATGGAAGGTGAGAGCTTGGCCTGCTTCTCTCCAAGTCACATCTGTACAGGACAATGCCAGATAGCCGCGTCCGATATCCAACAACAAAGGGATGACCTCTCGGGACGCACAAAAGTACGCGGCACATGAAGGTCGCATGGGCAAGGCATTCCAATGGTACGAGTGCAAAATGATATGAATACACACAAATGAATTCATCGTCTACAAGTTTCGTAGCATGTGCCCGTTGATTGGTTGCCCTTCAACGACAGGTCATTGATTCGAGGCCCGGTCGTGAGACTCTGAGAGCCTGCCTGCGTGGGAGGGCCGCATGAAATCCTCTCTGGGCCTCAAAGTGTGCTGAGCTCAAATCGGAGCTTTCCTCTCCGAGGAGCTTGCCTACGTTTCTCGCTTGGAGCAACTAGCCTGGTGGTCTGGATGGTTTGTGAATGGCGCAGCCATGTTTCCTTTTGGTATTTGGTGTAGCCCTAGACGTTCTCCACAAACTAGGTGGTGCTTGCTCAACCTTGCTTCTCTAAAGCAACACACATTTTAAGCGTAAGCAGGCGCCAGCAGCGAGTCCGCGTGAAGTTGCCCTGTTGCATTTGCGACTTGAAGCGCCGTCTCAACGACTGAAAGTAAGACGCAAGTTCACACTGGCCCTTGCTGAAAGTGAGCTCTGAGACTATGAAAAAGGCATCACCCAGCTTTTTCTTGGAAAACTACTCACAATAGCACTGCATGCTTGAGTTGCCAATGGATTCGCTGGACTACCTAAAGTGGTGCCGAATGCTGGCCATGGAGGCTCGAGTTTTAAGCGTCGCGGGCAACCTCGTTCAGCTGCCAAGCCACGTGGTAAAAACGACAGCCTTGTCAAGGCTGTCACCACATTTTGTGCGGCATGATGGTTCAAGAAAGTAAGAAAGGTTGACTACTGAACCCATCATACCACCAACTGTTTGTATTCGTAGGCTTCCTACAAAAACTGTACATGCTTCGGTACTTTGCCCAGGGGCATGATGGCCATCGTTACTGAGAATGCTGGTTGCTGCACCCATCGAAAGGCCCGTTTGCTTTTTGGGAAGCCTGTGAAAGCTATCTGAAACCACATGCATTGAACGGCGTCAGCACCAACTCCAACAAATTCCAACCGTCTCATTGCGAATGCGCACGAATTCCAACCGAACCCGCCCAACCCAAGCTGTGCCCCGCGCCCGTTTGGATGATCTTCGCCGCTCCATCCTTGTCGCCAACCAGCAGCACGTCTGACTGCAAGGGATGGAACCTGCAATCTCTTGCAAGGGCGAGGCCAACATAAAAAGGACGTCACGGCATCACATGCTTGTATATATATAACATATATATATATATATATATACAGATTACTTTCTACCATGGGTTACCCAAACTGAACAGCGGTCCTGATACTCTCCTGAACGGTTTGATGACGTTCCTGCAAGCGGGAACCGAGGATGGCTTGTGTCATGGTGCCCGTAGCTGGTACAGCAAGAGCGGTCGCAGGTACGACGACTCTACCAGTGTTTTTACTGTTCCAAGAATGACTTCTGAGGCAAAGAAAGAACACGAAGGGCCCCGAAGATCTTCAGCCTTTGTGGATTCTGCGAGATCCTGGGAAAGATTACAATTTGGGGGGGGGGGGGGTGCTTTTTCAGGATTGAATTATAACATACCATCATGAACAAACTTGAAGCATTGACACAGGTCAGAATACCGGACATGTGCTACGTAGAGCTGAATTCAATATGAATACATTGAATAACTATAGGCCAAGCATACGCAAAACACATGATAGAAATAATAGATAATCAGCAAGGAATGCATTGACAACCAGCTGCACAAACAACTGCTTGAGCTAGGCACCTTCCATTTCCCTCCACATAATATTCACATGTCAATGTGTGCATTACTATATTGACACAAACGCATGCTTACAAATGCTAGATGCTAGGACCATACGTGGCTGCTGGACATAGAACACACATGCCTAACATGTTACGTGAGGCATAGTGGCTCAAACAATGATGTATATGCACAACCATGCACTTGCCGGGAACTGATTTGCAGCCGCAAAAAGAAAAGAAAGAAAACAAGCAAGGAATCGATTAATGACAAGCTCATCCCCTGGTGCACTCAGATGTGGAAGCTTTGCTGGTCAAGGTGGTGGATAAGACACGGTCTCCTTTGAAACCAGGGCCGGCACTTGCAAAAGTCGGCATCTGAGGCCGCCGGCTCAAATTGCCGGCACTTCTGGGTGCCGGGGATAAGGATTGGAGCGAAGTGTGGGACGATCCTGAGCACAAACCGGACAAGGCCAGCATATATTTGTCGTCTTTCTTGTTTTGTTCATTGGTGGCAGTGTGAGTGTCACGTTTGTTACCAAGCTTGTGTGATGAGATCACTTTTGTGTTGGTCTTGGGCGAGGATGGGGGGAGGCTCTGGCGGTACACCGCTTGGGCGCAAACCGTTCCGCGGTCGCTCCAACCTGAGCACAGTCCGGTCTGAGCCAAGTAGGTCTGAAGTGCGTTGGTGTATCAAAGCACTTCTGCTTGCAGGTCTCAGTTCAGAATGCGAAACCTGCATCTTTGTTTGTCTGCTGCGGCCCCCTCTGGTTGCGTTCTTGCATGACCAAACATTGCATGCGTCCAGGCAGAACAACCACACTTTCCTGCGCCCTCGCAAGTCTACAAAGCATTGACACCTGCAGGTCGGTCTGAAAAATTAGGGACCCGGGACCCTGGGACCATGGTTATGGCTCCCTTTCGTTTCGCTTACTCACCTACGGATTCTAGTTTTGATGCATCAAGGCAATGCAAAGCATATCGAATGCTCTGGGGCCAGCGCTCTCGGGTTGTCAACCTGGCACAAAGCAAGTGCAAGCACGTGCCACACCGAGTGCATGTTTCGACTTCATACAAAAGGTCCGATATCTGAACTGTGCTCCATCTTGCATCTACAACATGTGCTTGCCATTCTGCCTGCATTAAAGCTCGCACTCTTCCTCTCTCTCTCTCTGTCTCTCTCACTCTCTCTCGCTCTCTCTCTCTCTCTCTCTCTCTCTCTTTCTTTGTCTCTCTCTCTCTCTCTCTCTGTCTCTCTCTCTCTCTCTCTCTGCCTCTCTGCTTCTCTCCCTCTCCCTCTCCCATTCTCCCATTCTTCCATTTTCTCATTCCCTCATTCTTCCATTCTGTACTTCTCTCATTCTCTCCCTCTCCGTGTCTCTCTGTCTCTCTTCCTTTACCTCTGCGTCTATATGGCTCAGGGTTTCACTTTGACACCAAAATAGTTTTACCCAGCTTGCGTGATGGGTCGAAACCATCTGGTCCGAATCAAGGAGAGTTAGATGGGCGTTAAGACTATATCGGGACTCTTTTGGCTGGGCATCATTCAAATGGGGATTCATCTCCAGTCATGTTTGAGCTGGTTCTCCATTTCCAGTCAAAGCCGAATGGACGCTTGACGACCAACCAGCCGTGCCTCTCGCATTGGCTCGAGCCTAGAGCGAGCAATGCAGCAATGCAGCCTCCCACTTGGGCGTGAGATCCGCGCTACTCTTCTGTGCTACCCTCTCGACACTTCTGGGTTGGTTGGTTGGTTGGTTGGCTGGTTGGCTGGTTGGCTGGTTGGTGAGGGGTTGGTTGGTCGGTTAGTTGGGCAAATCAGCTTAATTGATTTGTCAAACGCACATGTAGCAAGACTGGCCTTTTGGAGATGATTGTCTTCCCACGCCTTCGTCTCGAATTCTAATGCTCAGATTGTTGAGAGCTATGTGTTGGGGCAGCGATGCCCATCTTTGTCCCCGCTCAACCTCGTGCTAGACCCCCAAGGATTTAGGCTCCCACTAATCATGCAACTTGTGAGTCACCTTGGGGGAGACTGATCCACTTGTATGTTTCAGAGAACGTGCTACCCTAAGGCACTGGCGTCTCTCGGTGCGATGGTTCCTCGGCATGCAGGCCTGGCCTCGGAGCCTTGAAGCCTGGATTCGGCTTGGCTCGCATGAGGATCGAATGCCACACCGAGTTGAAAACCGAACAGAGTCTGCCCGAAAGCTTGAGGCACCGACCTGTGCGCCTGGCAACATGCACTGCCAGCAAGCAGAGTGCTCAAAAATAGAGTTCCCTTGTGACTCCGGTCACGAAGAAGGCGACGGGCAAGCAAGTTTCAGCAAAGGGGGTGATCGATTTCAGTTCCTCTCATCCTGCATCTGTTCTGAACAGCATGAAAACATTGTCTCCTTGCCACCGACCAAATTTGCAGCAAGGCTCCCACTCTTTGAAGACGCACATGTCAAGATGAAGTGGCAAGAAACCAATTTCACGGCAAAATGCACGCAATTGAGCCCTCAACAGCTGCCAACTCTTTGCTCTCCGGACAACCCTGAGTATTTCAACTAGGGCGGATGTCGACCAACAGCATCATGAACTCCTTTGCCACGTAGCAAAGCACAAGCCAGCTTCATGCACTGCAAGCAACCAGCCTAGTCAACTGTGGCGATTTGCCTGCTCCCTTCCCCATTTAACTGGCTGCGTGACAGTTCTTTGGATAAATGATTTGCCAGGAGGCACACATCCTCGCTTGCACTAAGTGCAAGCATAGCCTAAATGTAAATGAATGGCTGAATCACTGGACTCCAAACGGATGTGTCTCGTCTGAAAACCATTGCCTCGCTGTGAAAAAACGCCGACATGGAATCAACCATTTGCAGTGATCCCTCACATTCCTCAAATTCCCGCTCCCATTCTGCCTGCCTTTTGAAGAGGCTTCTAAATTCTCTGTACCTGGCTCCGAGACTTGGAACTGAACTTATGGAGGAAAATCCAGGTGACTGGGTGTGCAGTCAAACGGCTTGTCCAAAAGGCTGGATTGCTTTGTCGCCCAACACAGTAAACACATCCTATTTGGCCCGGCTTTGGGGCCACAGCCCCACTGCCAAAGGCTTTGAGCGCGATGCGAGCGCGATGCCCGTGGCGATTTCTTCTTCACCCAGCCCGGACCCGCACGCCCGTGCGTCCCCGCGCGCCTGGGCTGTGGCAGGCATCCCGCTGGAAGGGCTCTCGCTGGAGCGAGATCACAAAAACTTCATCTCCAGCTCCTGCTACGGGCAGCCGCTGAGAGTTTGAGAGTCCATGAGTTGATCAAAGGGGAAAAATATGAAAAATCATCAAAAGTGGACACCAACAAAGTGGCAAGTGCCTGCAGTCCACTGCTTTTGTAGTGAATTTGAAGCCCTGGGCTCATTTCCCTGCTCCTGCATCCGTGCCTCGCGCCGCCTCCTGCAGTTCTGCAACACTCACCAAGACATTCTTCGACCGCAACTCCCCACATGTGTTTCTTTGAAATCGGCAGGGCATGACACCAATTTCCACATTAGTCTGCTTGCACTTGTAGGCAGCAAGAGTCAAGCAGTTTGCTTCTTTAGCCTCAGCGTAGATCGTCTCGCAGTGGGCCCAAGCAAGCTCCCAAAGCCTTGGCACAACTCTGATTTCTGCAAAGACGCTGGCAGGGTTTGATCAATTGTTGAAGGCTCAAAGGACGTGGCACATGTTGGTGGCTCTGGCTGGCAGAATCCCAGGAGTAGTCGCAAGGACAGGGGTGAACGGCTGGGCTCCACGTGCGAGTGTGTATGTCAAGGTCTGAGCCAGCCAGGTCTGCCGTGATCCTCACTAGCTAAGCACCACATGACATGATGAGACGAGTAGGCCCCCAGGAACGCTGTAACATTGCCAATGGCACGAATTGTGCACTTCTGGACACGACACAAATAAATCACGATCGCGAAAAAGGATGGCTTGAGCAATAGCTCCGACATCATGCATCCAAACCAGCTCCTTTAAGCTTTACAAATCGGGACTTGGAACGTGGATAGAAAAGGTTGCGGTTGAAACGCCTCAGCATGGCTTTACAGTCACCTCGGAATGGCCTGTGGCACTGGGGGCAAGACAAGGGATGCTCACGGTCAGGCCGGCCCTCTGGATCCACTACGCTGAATGGCTGCCTCAGGAGATCCAATCCTTCATGCTTCATGTCCAGTGTGGGTTTCAAACATATGACATGTCCGTCATGGCGGATTCTCTTTGGTATCCGTTTTGAACTAACAAGTCCAGAAGGATCTGTCCATGCTGCGTAAGGAGGCAAAGCAAGCGCGAAATTGAGGATTGGCTCGCCATCAGGATGTTTTCACCATCGAGAGTATGGCAAATCGAGCCGAACGAATTCACAAGGACCTGGATGGCTCAGACCCTCCTTAAGGCCAGCGCAAGTCTGCCAGCCGAAAATGCATTGGCCTGGCGACACATTGGCTATTGGCTGCGCCCTCTTCAAACGGCTTTCTCAACCTGAAACCAATGAAACGACCTCAAATCAGCTGCTTCACTGTTCACAAGACGAGACCAGACTCCCGACTAAATGAAATTGGGCAAGCCATTCAGTATCAATTTCAAGTTTTGTTTTGAGTTTCAGGATGCTTTGGGCTTGGTCTTTCGATCAACTTCATCGTTGGTTTGAGACTGATTCAAGGTCGGTGGCTGCGAGTGAACATGTAGCAACCATCGCAGCAGAACGAATGGCTTGGCTAGATGTAGCAGCAATCACCAGCAAGAAGGCAAAACAACTACAAGATCAATCAACAACAAACCACACATCCTCCTCAAATGTCCAAAGGGCCGCAACAGCTTCGAGCGCCGCCAGCAAACCCAACAAACGTGAGCGCGAAAAGCCGCTCGTCGTGAGATTACATTGATTGCCTCGCTAACTTTAAGCATTGCCCAGCTCATACCCATGAAGGCCTCCAACATTAACTGGCCATGGAGTCAGAGCCCTTGGGCCACACCCAAGTCTCAATGTTGGAGCACTTTCCACATGCTACACAGCCTAGTTTGAGAGCACTCACGCATGCTTGGGATCAGCATGAATCTGCGTATGGGGGGGGATATGCCGGCCAAAACAGGGCGTTTTGCGCAAAGCTCAGAACATGAGCAGCAGTTGCTTCCGCAAGTCGATTTTGGCCCGGCGGGGTTGCGTCACTCCAATCCATGTCTGCAATTACTCCAGGCCTAGGAGTGGTGGCGAGCACGCCTTCCAACCTGAGGCAAAAGCATGCTCCAACGAAATCCCACATCTCGAAGGGGATCCTTGAAACAACTGAGCATGTGAAACTCTGCATGGCGGCGCTTCTGTGGGATAGGGGTGGTATACGTCTCAGGATTCGCTGGTTCACAAATACCGCCTCCAGAGCAAGTCATCTGTCATTTGCAAAGCGACATGCAGGATACAGCAATCTCACTGGATTTCAGGTGAGTGTTAAGGGCTTTGCCAGGTGTTTGGCAAATTGTGTCAACCAAACTCATCTCACATGGTTGTCTTTTAATTTTGCCTTCCTTCCTTCCTAGTTTATATTTTGCAGTCTGTACTTTGGGGATGAACGATTTAGCTTTGACACTTTATTTATGTTTCGCTCTTACAATACAAGATAGTATTACCTCACCCTATCCTATCTTGTCTTATGTTTTCTTCTCTTATCCTTTCTCGTGGTAGAGCTGGCTTTCTCCAGATTGCCTGGGATCAAAGTCGCAGAATTGGATCTGAGGATATTCCTCGAGGGTCTCTTATTCTGGCGAGTCATAGCACCTGGATGCTTGGCTCCAAAACCGCGCAACTTGTGACAACATAGTGTTCAAAGGGAATGACAAAAGCGCACAATGGACCATGTGTCAATGCTCACATTTTGTCCGCCGTTTTCACCGGATGTTGGCCATGCTCGTCGAGGAAGTCCACTGGGGCCGTGGCCGCAAGACTTGGCTGACCTGTTCCATTAAATTCCACAGGTTCGAGTCGACCTGGGCCGGTCAACAACCTAGTGTAACTGCGTGCATTCCAGAGCGCACTTCACAGCAAACACAACCAGACATTCGATAAACCTAAAAATCAAAGGATCCAGTGGGTCTATTGGACTTGCAACAGGAATGATTCTCACAGACTTGCCTGAGTTGCTCTGGGAAGGGCTGTGGACGTCGCATGCGCTTCACACGGAGAGGGCTCCAAGTCTCGTGTGATCCTGTGGCCCAAACATAAAGAGCCAGTTGCAAAAAGCAATGAACTACTTCAAAGCGCATCATGGCATCTACTTTCGGAATTATGGAATTGTTGCCATCCAACTCACCTGAGACCCAAGCAAGCCAAAAAGAATGCCCGAGGTCGATGCGCGTAGGTAGAAACAATCGCAACTCGGAATTGAAGCGCCCCGGTCCATGTCCTCCAACTAGGTATCTCTCATTTCTCTCACCTATTCCTATTTCCACCTACCCATGTCCAGTTTCAGAAGCAACTGAGTTGGCCACTGGCAAGTGGAGCCAGTGCTCCCGCGGCAACAGCGAGGAGACCACGCGCACCATATACCCCTGGCTACGAAAAGCAGTTGTCTAGCCCCTTTTGATAGCCTTAATATTTTGTGGAAGGGGGCCCTGGGGGGATGCCTTCAAGTGTAGCAGTGTAGAAAAACCAACAAGTGATTTGTCGCACCAGTTTGGCCCGACGTCTGGTGTCCAGTTTGTCACAAGAGGTCCACCTAGTTTTCATGCCATGGTCAACTAGCCGTGTTTCACACGGGCATCACGAAGGATCTGGAACCAAAGCAGAATTCACCTTGAGCTGTACCACAAACACACATGTCACATGCAGCAAACAAACCTAGATGGTTGCTCACCAGCAAGGGTTTGCATCCCGCAAAGCATTCTCAACTCTCATGTTGTACTGGAATGGTAAGCGACCTGTCTGCATCAGCCTCCAACCCCGGCCGAGCATTGTTTACTGGTTCTGGATTGTGGTGATTGAGGCATCTTGTAATCGCGCTACCACTGAGCAGGGGGCTTGCTTACAACGACACCGTGAATCCAACTACAAACTCATTTGGAGCATGTTCAATGCGCATGATGATGGAATCAAATAATGCCCGCCTTGCCAAAACGTCGTTTCCTGGATACCAAACGTCAGCCTGTTTCAAACTGTTCTCCATAGCCAAACCACTCTGAAGTGATCCGATTTAAATATATACTCGCTATCGAATGGATTGAGAACAACAACAAGCAGCCCCTTTGCTTCGTTTCGTTGGGAGGAAGTTTGTAGGGGTTTTAGATCTGGTCGATTATAGAGTGAGTTTAACGTGGTTTAAGGTGGTTTGGGGTGGGTTCGGGGTGGGTTTAGGTGCGTTTCGGGTTGGTTTAGGGCGGGCATTAGGCTGGGCTCAGGGCGGTCTGTGGGTTTAGGGTGGGTTTTGTGTGGGTTCAGGGTGGGTTTAAGGGCGTTTGCTTATTTTCCGGGGAAACAAACTCCCAATCCAACAAAGTCTGCGCCTGGCACAAAGGCAGCGACGGCCAGCAGCAGCTCCTCCGTGAGTCCACCATTGAGTTTCTGGTTTGCTCCAAGGACCAACCAACCAACAAGCACAAACAAACTCAGAGCAAACCAACAAACTAACCACAAACAAACAAGCAAACAAGCAAACAAACAAACAAGCAAACAAGCAAGCAACCACACATCGTTCGTAATGGTTTGCTTGGGCAATAGGTCGCTAATTAATGTCAACAGCCAACAGGAATCACGCCTCACAAACAAAATCAAACACACATATCATACACAGTGTGTTGTTTGGTGAAGCGTCGGGTGGTGTTCTGTGTTTGCTTTGCTTTGCGGGGTTGCTTGCTTGCTTTGTTTGTTCCTTTGGCGGAACTCGAAAAACATGCTTCCACGCAACGGTTGACCTGCATTCTGTGTTTCAAACGCGGATTCAGGTATTGCGCCTCTTGGCCCGTCCTCAAAGAGAGACCCAGCAACCAGACCGTTTCTGCAGCCATGGTAAGCCAAAAGTGATCCACCCGCACGGCCAAGTGAATTTGGTCAACCGGGGGTCGAATCTAGCTTGGGTCAAAAGCCCGTACCCCCAATGAACATCCCTGTCCCCACTAAAATAGACTAAAATGGGTGGTGCACCTACCCCAAATTGTACCATTGGTTTTGACCAACAGCCAGGTCCCACGACTCCTCGAGTCTCCCAGGCTGAAATGGAGCCCTGGTGCCGAGCGCTTCGAGTGCACTTCCGGCGACAAGGTGGGCCAGCGAGCGACCAGTATATCAGTCATAAGCAAAACAAAAAGCCCGCACCGTAAGTAGCACTGCAAGATGAGGGCAATTGACAAGCAATCTAACACCCGTGCCACATGTGTCACTTTACACACGAAACTCCAAGGACATCTTGTCAAGTCATGACCGAGTTGTCTTATCCGCAAAGCTATTGTCAAACCATTCAAGTCAACGTTCTCTGCTGAGCGAATGAAAGGCTTTAGGTTTGTCAGGCCAAGCGATGCATGTCAAGTGTCAGCGGCGTAGCGCGATTCTTGTCTTTGACTTTGGTGCCAAGATGCGCCAAGCAGGAGGCAAGGCACAAAAAGCATCGTATTACTGAGACCGAAACCTCTCCAAAAAGGCTCCCGCAAAACAAACATACCACGTACTATTATTTTTGTTACGGCTCACAACATCCTTCTGTTGCGACGAAATTGGTGGGGCAATCATGGTTCCCCAGGTACCTTATGAAAAAAAATCTCGCGCAGCGTTGTATGTTGCCACGCAAAGCCATGGGAAAAGGCGTAGTCTTTCTAGAGTGTGATGCGAAGAAGAAAAGACAGCAGCCGCTCTTCCCACTGCTGCGGGCCCTCCAAGGTTGCAAGCCATTCCCTGTGTGCAGTGTCTGTGCAGTGTCACTGGCCGAGTATTCATCCATTCTCAAAGCCGCCCCCGAATGGTAGATTTCATGTGAATCTCCGCTGAGTTCAACCACAAACAAGCAAACTCAGGGGAGCAGTCCTAAGGTGGGCGTGTATATGTGTGTGGGTACCCTTGTCAGGTTGGTGTTGGAGACACCAAAAACAAATGATCATCGTTTTGGTCCCCCTATGTTGACACATACCCATAAGGAGATCACACGTACGTTGATGGACGTTGGCTCTATAGCAGTCTCGAACCAGCCTGCGTGGAAGATCTTCGGAGGTAGAAGCCATCCTTCGGCCCGCGCACATGCAAACAAAACCAGCGAGGAAAGCGTTTTTTAGGAAGCCCGCGCTTTTTGGGCTTGGTTAAAAACCACACCCCAAAGGAGACGAATAATTTTGCAGGGGATCTTTGGTTTGACTGTTTCCCACAGTACTTTAAGACTTTGAGCACATGATTCGCATCTGTGCAAGTAGAAGGCAACAGCCTGTTGGGAGATTGAAGTGTGAAAGCAAAGAGTTTGAGCGCAGCCAAGACGGCTCTCAAGAAGACATAAATCATGAAGACCATGCAGCCGAACAATACTACTGGTCGTCTACTGCCGACCGCTTGTGCTATCTCCGCCAGCCAGGTGGAGAAAATGCTGCCCAGGCCGCACAAGCAAACCAACTACGACAAAGTGAAACGCCTCAACTAACAATTCTTTAGGCTACCTCCAACAAAATAGGCAGCTTACGCGGGCTCACATTGACATGAACATGGTCTTGCAAGTCGAGTTCCGCGCCAATAGACGACTTCTTCATAAACATACTTCTTTGTATAATGGAGCCAGCTCTGCCTAGGTCGGCGGCATCTCTTCTTACCATGCAGTTTTCTGTTCTCTGGACTGCGTCAGGCTCAAAGGATACTTCACGGACAGGGTCATGTGATCATCCGCGGATGCTAGCAATATGCCCTGAGAGCTTAGCTCTTTACATTCATTGAATAGTCTGATCGAAGACATGCTGCTTCAGTTGCCTTCTGCAGAACGGCCCCATTTGTGCTAGACTTGTCTACAACATGTTGATGACATTCTAACGATTTTGCTCAAGACGCGCAGCTGGAAACCATCCATCGTCTTCAGCAAAGCAAGTGCAAGTGAACAGTGTCTAAACCACAAAGCAGTTTGGACCATACAGCGACAACTTGAACCAGGTCCTTCGAACCTCTTGCATCTTGTTCAACACTTTGTGGTGGATGTTGATTTGTTCGCTTATTGCGTTTAATGAATACGGCGCCTCATACCTCCTCGGGAGCTGTGCTTGGTTGTTGAAATGCACATGGCTCGTGTTGTTCTTTTAAGCCATGTCTTTGCTGAGCAAAGCAGATTGTTTTCGGCCCGGTTGTCCATAGAAAATAAACTGGCGCGTCATCAGAGAAGTAAACCATGTCGAAACTCAGACCAGAGATCGTATTGTATGTACTGTTCAGCACATGGCTCACATGAGATCGAATGTGAGAATCGACACATGACACCGCGATAACTTCCCCCAATAACAGGAAGGCCCCCCCCTGATCCATATTGTCGGGGCCAAACAATATTTATTGATAGGCAGTTAGGGTAATTAGGGGTCAAGTGGGCTGGCCCAGAAACAAATGTACTCATCCATTTGTATAAACAGGTTGCAACGCCGGGTGTAGGACAAGCTTGGATAAGCTTGGGTCCTGGCGTACCCCAAGAAAACTAGGAGAGGGTTTGGCAGGTCAGCCGTTTCGGTATTGCCTAGAATTGGCCTACTGTGACACTAGTATCGGGGACTTCGGTGTCTGGGAAAAGGACAAATTATCAATTGAGTGCATTTATCAATAGGGGGAAGGGACTAACAAACCGGTCTGGCAAAAGAGGCATCATCCTTGCCCGAATACTGGAGTCTTGTTGCTTATAATCAAACGAACCGAATGCATCCCCCACAAAAAAGTAGGTGTCCAGCAACAGTCTTGCATCACATCCTTGTAATGTTGACCAAAGCCCGTCCGATTCAACGAGTAACTCGACAAACTGACCCTGTGACATCTTTGTATTCCAGGGGGAAAGCTTGAGCTCAACGCCTTTTTACACCTGACCAGTCTTTCATCATTACGTGACAAAGGTATGGGGAAACGTTTAGCATCTTTCTCTCCCTGGCCCTGCCTGATTCCGCATCTGCCTTGGCGGTGATGGCGAGTTGTTTCATACAGGCGCGAGGATTGCACGAATCACCAACTTGAAAACCAGGGTCAATAAAGGCATACGTTTCCTGCATCATGTTCCTGAATGCTCCTGCACTCCGCTTAAGCAAGCATCAACCGAAACAAACAACAGGAGGTGTACGTTCTACGCCCGCGACGTGGATTTTTCTTGGCACTTGTCGATGAGAGCTCATAGTATCTATATGAGCACCTTCAAACATCCGTTTTTTTTGCAATACATTTGCAGTCCGAGTCCTGGCACTGCCTGAACTTCCCTACCCACAAGTTTGTAGGAAGTTTCTAACTTCCATATCTAAGGTCGTCACTGGGCCAGAAACATCTGTGAAACATTGTCCAACCATGTCCAACCATCCTCAATGAAACAACGACGCAGTGAGTGTTGTTCAACTGGCACTGTTCCACCTGACCGAGCATGCACCTCAGGCTGCCGCCCACTCCAAGAAGAGCCTGCTTCCGCAAAGGAGATCCGCCGCCTTGGCAACCAGTGTGGGTCATTCAGCGGGCCACGTTTTTCCGCCAAGCCCCCAGCCAATAGTATTTAGTGAACAACAATGTAGGATGCACGTGACCGTTCCTCAATTTCACCATGCCAGGCGGTCAAGGACACAAAATATCTTCCAGGTCTTCCGCAGGACTCTTGTAAGGGATCGACGTCCAAAGGTTCACAGGAAATATCCACGAGCCTTGAACAAAACTTCGGCCATTTTTGTAGCTCGCCGAAAACCACCGTGTCTATCCAAGAAAATTATGCACAATGCTCAGGGAAAGAGTCGAACACATGTGCCGTTCACGGCTTCCTCATTGGGCATGAAGTTATGAAGCTTTCTAACCAGTTGACGCTGCAGCCAGACTTCCTTGCGTCCTTCAGTCATGTTGATAAGCCCCCCCTCCCCGACAAGGTGTGGCCAAAACACGCCGCCTGATCCATTTCTGGAACCTGCCAGTGCCCCGTGACTACAAACGTCTGTCTACCTCCCCAAATTCCCAAAATGCAAAAAGACAACATATTTATCTCAAGGGTTGCTTCTCTCAAAACCGAAGAAAAACAGCAGCTAGCCCAAGACAACAAACTTCTTATTACATTTTGTGCAAAGACTCAAGGTTTGACAAGCTCATAGGCCAGTCCCTCCCCCCAAAATGCAAAACTCCCTGATTAACCCTGCCACTCTCCAGCACTGCGAAGCAATCGCACTTTTCTTTTACTTCGGTATTGCTGTCCTATTGGTCAAACAGAGAGCGGACCGGAAAGGACCGGAAACAACCAGGTTAATAGGGGGCTGACCGGCCCTCCGAAACCCGGTTTTTCTGAACCTTGTTCAAAATCAAGCTCAGCCTTGGGAAGCATGGCTACCTGGCTACTTTAGCTACCCAGTACTTTTTAGGGCCTCATTTGTGAGGAAAAGCAAGCAGGAGCCAGACGGCTTCGCGAGGGCTCTTTCTTCCAGAAGATTTGGATCAGTTAAAAGTGGAGGCATATCTATGAGGGCTCGACATGAATATGTACTGGGCTGATCGGGGATGGCGTTCTACGCTCGGCATGTATAAAGACTCCGTCGTTGATGCTGCATGTCATACTTGCTCTAGGACTCTTGGCGCCATCAAATAGATGTTCTCACGATGCACCACACTGATTGCCTTCCTCCATGCTGGTGGCTTCGTTTGCGCATGTGCTTCGCATAGCTTTCAAACAAGCTTGCATCTTGGGACTCCATAAAAGGGAGATGGTTGTCCGCCCCTACAACAATCAGCCAGAGTTGATTGAGGGAAGGCATTCCGACGCCCAAGCCAGAAGCAGCACTCAACAAACGCCAACTGCCCACAGCCTGCGGACACCTCACGCCAAGGCGCGCGGCGGTCAAGAAGACGGCCGGGGCGACCCCCCCACTGCAGCCAGCGCAAACGGAAGTGCCAAGACCTGGCAGCAAAAGCTCTAACCTCAGGTAGAATGCAAAACCCACTTGTTCCCAAAAGGTTGGGGCTAAGGTCGTAGCCATGTTCCGTGTCTGCCCAAGAAAAGGCAACCTCCATTTCTGGTGGGAAATAACAATAGGGATGTTGACCAGGTGACCTTCCGCGAACTGGGAAACCATCAATCTTTTCGGAGGGTACCTCCCCTTGAAACCGGGAACCTGGTAGCTTCCAAACTAGGGACGAACAAAAACATTCTGGTGGCTAGCGGCCACTGTCTGTACAGCAAGATATGAGTCAATGCGTGTAGCAAAGAGCACACCGGCATCGCACACCCTGCCGCTGGAACGACCACTTGAAGATTGAAAGTAGGCAGTGTCAAAGCCAAAAACGACAGTGTGCTGTCACCCTTCTTGTGGGTGTGTATTGCATAACTACGCGTACGTGCACACCTATTCACCACACATGCAAAACACAGCTTTCATTCATCATGCTCACCCGCTTCCACCCTGCACGCACACACACACACACATACCCACGCACCCAGGCACCCACGCACGCACACGTGCACGCACCCGCAGGCACACACCCACACAGACACACAAACACGCAAACACCCATACACACACACACATAATCTTATGTTGGCTTGGCCAGGGGAGGCTTCTGAACGAGTGATGCATCCCCTTGTCACACATTTGCATGCCATTAGATTCAAAATCATGCTGGCGAGAAAGAATCTGCTCACAAGCGACTGACGCCACAAGATGCAGCCCATGGGGAATCCTTCCAGCTACAACCTTGGGAAAGGGCTGATTGACGGAAACTCCATGATATTGTAGCCTGACATGCCTGATGTCGAAAAGTCCAATTGGAGCCAGCCACGCTCGGCCGCTGAGAGATTGCCGAGAATCTTTCTCAGCACCAAATAAAGCACCTGGCAGGGACAGCCAGGCTGAGAATCACGGAAGGGGTCACCACCTGTTAAAGGGTGAAACCCACGGTTGACGGTTGGGGCATCCGAGTCTCCGGGAGCAATAGCTCATGCAAAAAGCTGTTTTAAAGCGAAACACATGCAAGGGTGGAAGGTCTGTGCTTCCTGACCTCAGAACAAGCTTGTTCACAGATATAGCAGGTTCAATTTAAAATCATACTGGAAAACGCGGCAATGCAAGCCGCAATTCACAGCAACATGACTATGACTGATGGAACGGTTCCACAGCTGCTCAACCGCTCAAACCCTATGAAGTGCGGTGGAGGCAGCGTTAACCATGAAATTGTTTTTGGTACTGAGAAATATTGGGATAATTAGCGAAGAACATGGAAGCGACTCGTCCTATCCAGAAATCCCAGCTCCTTTCTCGTGCCGTCCCGGCCTTGAGCCTAGCAAGCACATCCTGGAAACTGTACAAGGGCCTTGGCTGCTGGCAGCATGTTGAGTTCTGCGCAGAACTCTACTCCATTCGACATGCGCGCTCGTCAAAAGGCTGCACTTGCTGGCAACAGGCTTCGCTGGCTGAGCAAGTACAGTAGGATGCATGAACACATTGACAAGTCTAGGATTTGCACTAAAGTTAAATGGGCATATTCACCCAGAGCAAATTGTTGCACTGTCTGCTTGCCACAGTTGGAAATTGATGGTATGTGTAGCCGTCTTCATGATTTGTCTCCTTGCTCTGCACTATGATGAGTAACCAACCCTTCTGTGCTTTCAGGGTTCCAAAGCTAAAGCAACTACTCAAACCCAACATTTCAAATGAAATCCATTTTTTGATGTAAAAAAAAGTTCCGAATGTTTGCTCTTTGACCCCTTGCAACAAGTGACACGCGCCGGGTGGGACAACAAAATGTAAAAGAAGGGGTTTCGGGTTGCCTCGGTCAAACAGCAGCCTCGGCTCAAGTGCTGCACTCGAGACCGCGCTCAGTCACTCAGTGCTGGGCACTCGGAGCTCGAAGTTGCCAATCCTCACCAGCACCCCTCTCCTGGCCGCTGAAATGGAGCGGCAGGGGAAGGGGGAGGGGGGGTTTACTCGTTGTTCAGCTAAAATCGCAAGCCCCTGCACAGCATGTCTCGTTTGCTCAGGACCACATGTGGTTTGGGAAAGGGAAACCCTTCTCACCCCGCCCACAGTTTGACAAACACCCAGTGTCGCACCTGCTGGCCGCATTCAGCTTGACCAAAAGCTGCCAGTTTACCTGCTGTAGAAAGCTGGCTGCCTGAGGCAGGATGGAGGCAAGAGCTTCTACTTGACTCTCCCTGCCTTGCCAGCCAAGTGTTAACAAGATTGTATCCGTATGTTCCAAAGCAAATTATCTAAAAAAGAAGTGCAGACACCATGAACCAAAGTTGTGTGGTCGCTTTCAGCAGCCTTTGGGTGGTCTCGATGCAAGACGGCAGTACAAGCTGTCCTGGCTGGAAAGCGCTCAATTCACCGAGCAATGAATATTTTCTGTCCCGTCCAAAATAGGGAGGTTTAGGTCATAATTACTTGCGGATGGGGACGGCTTCATAGGATACTCAACTCAAAGATGTGGTAGTGATGGTAATCATCTGCGAACATCCTGAGCCCCCAACGGACATACGCATGCCCAGCCCCGACCTGCACGCCAAGGAACCGTACTGCATCCCTGCGTGTAATAAAAACTTGTCGCCTGCAAGGCCTGCAACTAAACAAATAAACTTAACCTGGGCTTCAACAGCATGAGAAATCGCTTGCCTATCCACTTGACGTTACTCCACTTCTTCAGGCCGCCGCCCGTTGCTTGCATTCAAGGTGAACAAATGGCTTCCTGGATATTGTGCTCAAACACAAGACCGGCAAACGTGCCTCCTGCAAACTTGCAGCATCTTCCAATTAGATGGGTATGCGCAGGGGTCGTACTTGCATGCATCAACATATTCCCACATATTTACTGTCAATATTGCCACAACCAACTTTTAGAAGGCGACTACAAACGCGTATCCATCAACCTGCAAGACCAACAGGGGACCACTAAAATTAGTTGATATCTTGGCAATATTGTCGGTTGTGAAAATAAAACAATGTCAATGATCAAACTGGCGTCCTGAGTATTGGCGCATGACGAATCCACCAATGCACTGCCAAAGTCCCCTGCTGCGATCAGGCACCGAGCTTCAAAATGTTGGTTGCTGACAATGGCCAATGGCTCAGGAAAGCCGCTCAGGGGAACTGAGCCGCGGGCCATTGGGGCACGTCTTTGATGTACTGCAGTAAGAAGGCGTGGCGCCGCCAAAGCAAAGGCTCCTGCAACTGGCGACGCGAATGGTTTAAATGGTGTCTTGCTTCCAAGCTGGTTGCACAGTCGGCATGTTGAAAAGCAGCCGGCGGCCAGTCAGCTTGAAAGGCACAGTGGACAAGAATGGAGGAACCAGGGGTTCAAAACGATCGATGTAGGCACACCTGACACAACATCTTGCAACACCAATGCAATTCAAAAGCGAAGACACCAGCTCTGACTGGGAGCTTCACACCAATGAACAATGAGAACCCTAGGCAAGAATGAACCCTAGTCAAGCTGCAAACTTCATCTAATGTCTCAATTTTCTGGAACTGTAGGCCATCTTGTGGAAGCGGTAGAAACGAAAGGACTCACCAATGCCTTGCTTCTGAGGGTCGCCTGCTTGGGCCTTTCAAGCTAAACCAAAGGAGATTTGGGCCTGGCTGTTTCTCGAAAACGCCCCAAGATGAGGATTCCGAATGTTTGAAGCGCGGCAACATCCTCCTGTCTGGTTTTGCCATCACTCTTTCCGCGCCTGGCTAACCTTCCGCAGGCTCCGACAGATCTGGGCGGCCCGGAGCGACCTCGATCTCCCAAATCGTAACGATTTGCTCTGGAGCCCAGCGGTCCACGGGTCCCCTCAAATCGTGCGGGCTCCGCCCACATGGCTCATGGTGATCAGGATTCAAGCGGCAAGCGTACCATCAGTATGCCAAGTCTAGCCCTATTGCTTGGTTCCTGACTAACTTCACCCTGAGTGTTCTCCAAAATTTCAACCACTTGAAATCATCTTCTGGTGTCTGCGAAAAGTGCAAAATGAAGGGGGTGTGGGCATCGATCATTTTTGTGTTGGGGCAGTTGTTTGAGGAGTCTAAACAAGAAGCACATAACGCTGCGAAAGGATGATCTACTAAAGAGTCCTGCCAAATATATTTCTGCCAGTTTGTCTGATCACCCTTAGCCTTACAGAGTCTGTTGCAACACAGCACAAGCCAAGGGCGGTGGATGCTTGAAATTTGAGGCATACAAACATGCCACCACTACCTCAAGGTTGTAGCTGGCTGCATCCAAACTTCTTTGTGTGTTGAACCTGTGCAAACAATGCAAACAACAGTTGTTCCCACAAACATCATGGTATCCAATCACGGCAACAGCAGGTGTGATGTAAAGGCGAGACCCGTGCCCAAGCATAAATGTATATAGAACCATGGAGTACAAACACAATACACACACACACACACACACACGCACGCACGCACGCACGCAAGCACGCACGCACGCACGCACGCACGCACGCACGCACGCACCCAGCAGAACCCCAACAATGTAATTTTGGCGCGTAAAGCAAACAGAGCTCAAACAATGACAAGCAACAAACTGCATGGTCCACCTGAAAAATGTCTGACTCTCCCTTGTGCTGAGCGGCTCTTGCACTTCGTTGAAGGCAGCTACATGGCTCCACACCAGCCTTGCAGTCGAAGCTGGATGTGCAAACCCGCACGAACGAAGTCATAACTCAGATCACATAACTAGAGTATCATCATTGGATGCACCTAGGCTAGACTGGGGTGGTCAAAAACAAAGAGCCCCTGCAACAATACCAAACCGTTTGCTACCACATCGCCATACTTGTTAGAGATATTCTAGTTTCAGAACAAAGGCCTAACTGCTTGCTGGCTATTGATACAGTCGTTTTCCAAACTGTTACAGCTTAACGGGTACACACATGACACATGTAAGCTATCGAGTATCCTTGATGGTCTTTGTTCTCCCAACACAGGACAGGGAAGCCACACCAAATGTGCAGGACAACCAGAGACCTCAAAGTCGACATCAACAAGCCCGAGATCCTGAAAGGTCTTTTCATTCAAGGCTCCTGAAGCCCTGATGAACGTTGTTGTACACCTTTCCACAGATTTCTTGGAAGCCTTCCTGCTTGAACCGCCATTTAGAATCAATCCTCTGACAGAACTTCCTGATCTGGCAACTGCACACAAGGCAATAAACCTGAAGGTCCGCAGATTTGCAAGCATGCTCAAATGATTGATGAATACCTTGTCCGCGCTCATGTTGGGCCGCTTGACTGCCGCAAGTCACCATGGAGGGCTAATCAATAGTGAGCTTTGGGGACTGAAAAGGCAACACAAATCGCAGGGTCCCAAAGGTTGGCACCCAGAACCCCACCGTGGCACGTCCACGTCGTCAACAGTGGACCTTCGGTCGAGCAAAAACATCCTGAGGCTGGCACAGGAGCACATTTTCATCAGTTCCTCCCACATGCCTCAAGCAGCATCAGGAAGATGTCAAAATGGGCGGATCTCCTATCCTTTTGGTTTCCCTTCAAATCTGTAAGAGGGCACCCTCCAAAAATACGCCCATGTAGGAATATCTCTTCAGCATGCCTTTGGTGGAGTCACTTGTCATGATGGCCCAGCAGTCACAACTTTGCGGGTCTACAGCGCCTTGGCAGAAAGCCAGCGCAACTTGAAGCCGCACTGCTTCTGGGAAGCAGCTCTCGACTCTGACAAGTCCTAGATCTATTCAAGTTGATTTTGTAATTCAATCTCATTCATGGATTGTCTGCATTGGCGAAACTGTCAGAGCCATGAACGCGCTATGATGCTGCGCTCAAATTCCTGTGACAGTTCAACTGCAGCCGAATGCTGAGGCACCGGCATTTCACAGCTGTGGCTAAAAAGTTGTCTTCAAACACAGGGCTGCTTCCTCTCCGAGAGACTCAATGCTTGAGGATAGAAGTAAGTTTGTGTGTCTCTACGTCTTTTCAGTTGATTGAGCTCTGCAACTGGCAGCCACCCAGGCCGAAAAGTGCCGGAATCAAAGGCCACAAGCTGACACACACACTAACAGCTGATGTCTGTGCGGGGCCCGGCATCCTTCATCTGTGCCCCATGGCAACTGCTGTGCCCGCGATTGTTTCTTAACTCCGAGCCAAAAGCGAGAAAAAAACCAAGGTTGCGAGCGGCTCAAGGCCGCGCACTCTCCCAATCAATCATGGGATCGATGTCAACAGCAGTCACGCCCCTCTTAGTTTTGGACAGCCTTGATGGTTCGCATAAACCCCACGTGTATCATTCACAGTTTCGGATCAAGGGTCTTACCAACATGAACATCAACACCAAAGGACTGCTACTAGGAAAAGAAGGTATTCTCCAAGCGTATGAGCTGGCAGATTTCCAGCACCGAGCGAAAACCTGGGACAGCGGACATGAGCGATCAATACTCTATATCCAAAGGGCCAAGAATGTTTCACAAAGGGTTGCCAAAAGAAAGCTGTGCACCATTGATGCTTGCGTGGCAGGACCGCAATGAAGTGTGGGCGAACGAGCCTTCATGGAGTGATGCGGCCCAGGCAAACCTATCCGCCGGCCCTTCTTGCCAAAAGGGGAGGTGTACGGGAAGGCTGCCAATAAAATCATCATCATCACCACCATCATCATCATCATCATCATCATCATTATCGTCGTTATCATATTATTGTACACATCAGATGTGGCAATAGGCACCGCTGGCAACGGTGGAGGCTTTTCTTTCTACACAAGCAGAAGCTGAAGAGGCTTAGGAAAAAGCATCATTTCCCAATTGGGGTCGGCGGCACATGATTGTTTTGCAAGCTACCTGTCGTCATTCATCTGTTGGAAGCTTGTAAACAATCAAGATCGATGCAGCTGCCAAGCATGATATCCGCCATCTTCTAGCCGCTACTTTTCTGCTGGTTCCTTCGTTAACGTGGCGCCAGGCATTTGCCTTCAGCATCTGGCACCAGGCGCATTGCTGGGGGCATGTGAGCCTTAAAGAAACCCCACCATCTACCACCAAACGCGGCCGCTACTTGCCCAAACAAACCAGCGAGCCAAGTAGTTCCCTCAGCTCACGAAAGCTCCTGAGTGGCGGCCTCGCTTCATAACATGTTCTAAAATTCCCGGGTTCTCTTAGCATTGAACAAATCTATGATGCCCACCAAACATATATTTGTTTATTTGCCACCCCCCAGCATATGCGCTAAGTTTCGCTGCTGTTTCGGCAATCCCTCAACACTCTGCGAACCAGGGAGAGCCCATATTTTGCTGCACGATCACTCAAGCTGTAACCCCACAACTCCTAAAGCAGCCATGCCACTCACTGGCGGGGATAGGCGCCATCTGGCCTCTCAATGACCTGCAGCAAACGTTGTTATGATGCTCTCAACATGTTCAGAACTCTTGTAGACCTGGTTTCAAGCCGTCCGCCCTTGAACAAACCAAGACGCCTTTCAAATCCCTCGAACACCTCCCAACCACTGTGGAATTGTCTCCATGGCTGTTGGTCAAAATGCATGCCACCTCTATG